CTGGTGGGTCTGTCAAATGATGCAACTGCTGTGGAAAGCAGTATGGTGATTCCTTAAAAAGCTGGAATTAGATATACCATTTGACGCAGCCATTCCATTACTAGGTATACATCCAAATGAAGTGAGAGCCAGGACAAGAACAGATATATGCACACCCATGTTCATTGCAGCACTATTTACAATAGCCAAAAATGGAAACAACCTAGGTCTTCATCAACAGAAGAATGGATAACCAAGCTATGGTACATACACATAATGGGATACTATGCAACCCTAAAGAATAATGTAGAATCTGCAAAATACCACATAACATGGATGAACTTGGAGGACATTATACTAAGTGAAAAAAGTCAATCACAGAAGGACAAATATTGTATTAGTCTATTCTTGTAAAAAGTCAAGAAAAGGTTTCTATACGGAAGGAAATTTTCTTTGTTGGTTACCAGGGGTGGTAAAGGAGGAGAGGGAACACTGTTAGATAGGTAGAGACAAGTATTGCTTTGGGTGAAGATAACGGTAATATACCAACTGCGAGTGATCAACAAAGAGGAATTGAGGAAGAGGAAGACATAGAGAGGTGCATGGGAGGTACAGACAAGACATATGAACCCTTTTGCATGAGTAGTCCTGGGTTGTCAATGAAGGCAAACATGGATATATGGGTAGACAGATGGATGGACAGGCTCAACTGTTAGGTATGTCTATGCAGGGGGGGATGTGCCCAAGACTATGTATAGGGTTCGCAGACAATATTTCTACAAGTGAATTAGTATGTTCTGTAAGAATTTCCAAGTATGTAGTAGAGCTGACAAGGGACAAGGTGTAGCCACTTCTTGGCCACAGCCAGCTACCCAGAAGAAGCAAGTAGGTGGACCTGTGGGCTCGCAACTATGGTCGCAGGGGACATCCAGCTCAATTGGCATAATATACTACACAAAAACATTGTTTCACATCCTACTTTGGTGAGTAGTGACTGGGATCTTAAAAGTTTGCAAGTGGCCATTTAGATGCAACAATGGGTTGCTCCTTGTCCAGAGCAAAGAGGAATGAAGAAAACCAAAGAAGCATGGAAACAATTTGTCCAAGGGACTGGTACACCATGCGATCCTCAGCCTATATGACTATGAGACCAGAAAAACTAGATGGTATATGGCTACCACTGTCAACCGCTCAGAGGGGGATCTATGTAGGAGATCCTATAGAGTGGGAGAACAATGTGGAACAAAACTCAAAATTAAAAAAAAAAAGGGGGGGGACCAGTTGTGCTGGTCTGATAGAGCCTGGTAGAACCACTGAGACTATGGCCCCTTGCTCCCCTTCAGGTCTAGAATTGAACCCACATTTGTGGCTTCCAGCCAAAAAAAAAACCTGGCATATGAGCTGAACATTTACATTAGGTAGATACACTCCTTGAATAGAACAATCATGGGAGAATAGAAGGGCTGTGTATGCATAGGGAGACAGCTGGGAGTGGGTGGGTGGACAGGAGTGTATGGGAGAAAAGGACACAGGGAAGAGGTAGCTATGGGGAGGATATTGGAGGGGATCTGCTGCACTGTGGGAAACTGCAGTCAATGTCATGAGACAGTGTATATGAGTTGCTGTATGGAAAGTGAATTTGCTCTGTAACTTTCACCCAAATCACAATAATTAAAAAAAAAAAAAAAAGTGTGTCTTATGTCAAAAACTATGTTAGATAGCAGGAAAATGTCTGAACCCATATATTTAATTTTGTATAAAAAACTCAATATTCTAGGGGATTCTAAGTCCTTTATTGATGCCTGAGAGAAGAATGGGGTATTAGGCAGAGTACATAATTTTCTGGGTACTAGTGGATCTCTAGGAGCTCTGGTAGCATAGTGCCTAAGGCACTTGACTGCTAACCAGAAGGCTGGCGGTTCAAACCCACCAGCCACTCCTCGGAAGGAAGGTTGGGCAATCCTACTTCCGTAGTGATACTGCCTCGGAAACCCAAGGGGGAGTCACTATGAGTCGGGGCCGACTCGATGGCAAATAACAACAGTGGATCTCTACTTCCGTATAGGAGAGTGAGAGTCACTGTGTCCACAGACTTGGGGAAACGAGGCACAAAACTAAATGGCATCAGGAATATGCTAGAAAGGTATATTTCTCCTCTTCTTACCAAAAGCCCAGGGTTACAGACCTTTTATGAAGGTACAAACAATCCCTGGATTATGAACAAGTTCCATTCCTAAATCCGTTGTTAAAGTCAAATTTTTATTAAATCAGGATAGTTAGGTATAGTTTGTATCTAATGTCAGCTAGTGAAATGTTTGTCTTAGTATATAATATAATCTCCTATGCATAAAAACACTTCTAGTTACACTAAAACATCTTTAACATAGCAATACAGTAATAATAATAATGGTGTGATGTGTGTCACAAAGTTGTATCCATTTGTCATTACAAACCAACCACTGTATGTACCTTGAATGACTAATATAATAGGCTTTACAGAGGTGGGATGTACATATGTCAGACATTTGTAACTGGGGAACTGCCTGTACTATTTCAGCAAAGAAGCCTCGGTGTGAAATATTCCACTGTCTGGAAAGAGAGGGTGACTGGGGATACAGAATGGAGAGTAACTGTGATAGCTGGAGCTGTGTGTCAACTTGGCTGGACCACAATTCTGTGTGGTTTAAGCAGTTGTGATGTGGTTATTCCCATGATGGGATCTGATGTTTTGAGCAGCCAATCTGTTGAAAGGAAGTTTCCCTGGCCTGCTTCCAGTATGTTTATGGAGATCTGGGAAAAGAGACACTCTTCTGTGGAGCGGGATTCTGTTGTGCTGCCTACAACTGTCCATGAGCGAACAACCCACCATTAGGCCTGGATTCATCATTCGTTGGAGTCAACAGCCAATATACTGCCTGCCAACCTTGAGCTCCTCAGCCCCTGGAGCTGCGTGAGTCGGGAAAAGCCTCCAGCTTGACGTTTGATCCAAGAACTTGGGACTTGCCAGCTTCTATAAGTGTGAGCCATTCTCCTAAGACAAATTTCTCTTTCTCTCTCTATATAAACTTTACTGGTTTTGTTTCTCTAGAGAACCCAGTCTAACACAGTAATGTTTAGTGAACACCTAACATATATTGGGTATTTATGCAATCATTTACTTTTCACAGTTTTACATAAAAGATTCTATTACTCTAATGTTCCAAAAGAAACATAGTTCCCAGGAAAGGTTAGCCACCAAAACCAAACCAAATCCAACCCACTACTATTACATCAATTACAACTCATAGTGACCATATAGGACAGAGTAAAACTGCCCCATAGGGCTTCCAAGGCTGTAAATCTATAGGGAAGCAAATCTATATGTCTCATCTTTTTGTCACGGAACCGGTGGTAGGTTCAAACTGCTGATCTTTTGGTTAGCAGCTGAATGTGTTAAGCCCTAAATACCACCAGAGCTCCTAGCCACCTGCTAGATCAACCAAACTAAGTTTGTCTAATTCTAAGCCCTCTTCCTTTCTATCAGTTTAGGAAGAGGGAAGATCAAACATAGGAAAGGCAAACATTATGTGAATGTACTGTGCATAGTATCCTCATTTGTAAAATGGGAACAACAATAATACTGATCTTATGAGGTTGCCATGAGAATCATTACGAACTACTCTACTGTGTGTAGTGTAAGAAAACACTAAGGTTTAATAAAAGATACTTTTTTTTGGTCTTTCTTTTATACATGACTTTCTCAAAGTGATAAGAAAGCATCTATTTGCTATTCTTAAAAAAGCCAAAAAACCAAACTCACTGCCGTCGAGTCGATTTGACCTATAGTGACCCCTCCTTAGGTTTCCGAGGCAGCATCTCTACGGAAGTAGATTGCCCAGTCTTCCTTCTAAGGAGTGGCTAGTGGGTTTGAATCACCAGCCTTCTGGTTAGCAGTCAAATACCTTAGGAACTATGTCACCAGAGCTCCTTAATAAACATTTAATAGTGTTCATGTACAAAAAAATGTGATAAACACTTTCTTAGCAATATCTCCTTCCATCAAACTAAGGCAATCTGTTGACTACTGGGGGTGACACTTCTTGGAACACCCTTTGGGAATCTTACTAACTGGTCAGTTAACAGAATGTGATGAGGACAATTATATGATACTACTTTGCATACAATGGCGATTAAAAAGATGTATGATGGTGCAATATATTTTTCCCCTTCTTATAGCAGTGCTTGTACACATTGATCTTACTCTACATACATAATTATTTTTTCAAAAAAACTTAATGTGTATATTCCATTTAAAGTAATTTCTCCCTTAGTTGGGGGGGAAATGCTCAGGTAGGTTGTCATCTGATATGCCTTAGTAATACCTGGAATGAGGACAATCTAATTTATTCTATGACTAGATTAAGATAAGTTCAAATATTTAGCTTCCAGCATAATGAGCATTCAGTCAGGCTTCATGTGTTTACTGAAACTTAGAGAGCAGAAAGCAAAATGAGGTAGTTCTATGTCATAGGACTAATGTGCCATATTAAATGATGAACATTAATAGCAAAGTACAAGTCTGGTCCATTTTGCCACTGTCCACCCAAATTTCTCCTTTGAAAATGGAATACCAACAATTGCCTAGTAAACCTTGAATAAAATAGACAAAAGCCAGGATGCATGGGTTAATGCTTGGGAGACACCAAAAACCAAAATCACTGCTGTTGAGTTGGTTCCAACTCAACAACCTCTCCTTGGATTTCTGAGGTGGTATCTCTACAGAAGTAGACTGCCCAGTATCCCTTCCAAGGAGTGGCTGGTGGGTTTGAACTGTCAGCCTTCTGATTAGCAGTCAAATGCCGTAGGCAGTTAGGAATATTAAATGAAATTCAGAGCATTGTTTTCTCTTGCACCCACAGGCATCTGTGCCAAAGTAACACAACATCATTATTACTGTTTTGTGTGGATGTGATTTTTTTTCCATCAATCAGATCTCTGTGCTATTTCCAACATGATTTCTAAAGGAAGCCAACAGAACTTACATTGTACAATGTGTGAGATCAAAAGAGCGGCACTGGTATCATTACACGTCAGCCTGCCTTGAGCCAAGTCCTGCTTCACCTGCAGAGCAAACAGGTACCTGCAAATATAAATAGAGATGGGCGTCATGCAAAGAGAGCAGGGAGGGAGAGCATCCACGTGAGCCTCACTCCTGGCAACATCTCCACACTGAGAAACTAAAGAAAGGTTATAAAACCAATTAATGACAAGTCCACCCAGGCTGGAATGAATGCCTGTTGCCACTGACTGCAATGCAAATACCCACTTCCCTAAAAATAAAAAGCACTGGGAGACAGGCTGTAATCTTTTCACATAATGAGTAGTAAGTTTCATTTTATGTGGAGAGATGCAGCCATTAAAACCTAAGAATATATCTTGCCACACAATGTATCCTTTGCAGGGTAGAGGAGGCATTTTGAATTTGTCAGAGGATGAGTCAAAAACACATATGATGGCTTTAGGGCTCAAACAATAAGAATAGTTTCTTCTGGTTATTAAGAGCTTTGCAAATGGAATCAGAAAGACATGGGCGTACATTGCTGTCATGCTACTTCTTCGCAGTGTGATTTTCACTTCATTTCTTCCTAAGCCCCAGCTACCAGATCTTTAAACATTATTTTAAAATCATTTTCTTCATATTATAAGATAAAGAAAGTGACCATTATTGGTGTAAGAGAAAAGATGTTGTTGTTGTGGTTATGTGCCATCGAGTCAGACCCGACTCATAGCGACCCCTCCTTGGCTTTCTGAGGCAGTATCACTACAGAAGTAGATTGCCCCATCTTCCTTCTGAGGAGTGGCTGATGGGTTTGAACCGCCAGCCTTCTGGTTAGCAGTCGAGTGCCTTAGCCACTATGCTACCAGAGCTCCCAAGAGAAAAGACATAAATTTAAAAAAATCAAGTAAAAACAATGTAATGTTAAAATTGATTTCAACATATCAATACAAACTCATAAATGTTTAGAAAGGTATTACCAAAAACCAAACTGACCACTGTAAAGTCAATTCTGATTCATAATGACCTTGTAGGACAGGTTAGAAGTGCCCCCCATAGGGTTTCCAAGGCCATAATTTTTTTTTTTTATATAATCTGTATGATTCTATTGATATGAATTTCAAAATTACACAAAATTAATCTATAGTTATGGAAGTCAGAGTAGTGGTTACTTCTGGGGGTGTTATGATTGGAAAGCTCGAGCATGAGGGAAACTCCTGAGGATCTGGAAATGTTCCTTTTTTTTTTTTTTTAAATTGTGATTTGGGTGAAAATTTACAGAGCAAATACACTTTCCATACAGCAGTTCACATACACTTTGTCTCATGACATTGACCACAATTTAGTACAATGCAACAGCTCCCCTCCCACTTCCTCCTGATAGTTACCTCTTCCCTGTGTCCATCTCTCCATGCCCTCCTACCCCCTAAGCTGTCTCCCCGTGCCTGAGCCCTTCTTTTTCCCATGCTTGTTCTCTCCAAGGAGTGTACCTATCTCAGGTAAATGCTCAACTGATATGCCTGATAAATTTTTTTTATTGTGATTTGGGTAAAAGTTTACAGAGAAAATTCACTTTTCATACAACAGCTCACATATACTTTGTCTCATAACATTGTTTGCATTTTCCCACAATGTAACAGCTCCCTTCCCACTATCTCCCCATAGTTATCTCTTCACTGTATCCTTGCCTCCATGCACTCCTGTTCCTTGAGCTGTTTCCCTGTGCAAACACAGCGCTTCTATTTTCCCATGATTGTTCTCTCCAAGGAGTATATCTACCTAATGTAAACGTTCAGCTCATATGCCTGTCTTTTGTTTGGCTGGAAGCCACAGGAGTAGGTTCAATTCTAGACCTGAACGGCAGCTAGGGGCCATAGTCTCAGGGGTTCTATCAAGCTCTATCAGACCAGCAAACCTGGTCCCCTCCTCTTTTTTTTTTTAAATGATTTTGAGTTTTGTTCCACATTGTTCTCCCACTCTATCCAGGACCTTCTACACAGATCTCCCTCCAAGTGGTTGACAGTGGTAGCTGAGCACTGTCTAGTTCTTCTGGTCTCATAGTCATATAGGCTGAGGATTGCATGGTGTACCAATCGCTTGGACTAATTGTTTCCATGCGTCTTTGGTTTTCTTCACTCTTCTTTGCTCTGGACAAGGAGAGACCCATCATTGCATCTAGATGGCCTTCTGCAAGGTTTTAAGATCCCAGTCACTACTTGCCAAAATAGGAGGTGGAACAATGTTTTGTGTAGTATGTTGTTGTTGTTGTTATGTGCCATCGAGTTGGAACCAACTCATAGCGACCCCTCCTTGGCTTGCCGAGGCAGTATCACTACGGAAGTAGATTGCCCAACCTTCCTTCCAAGGAGTGGCTGGTGGGTTTGAACCGCCAGCTTTCTGGTTAGCAGTCAAGTGCCTTAGGCACTATGGTACCAGAGCTCCCGTGTAGTATGTTATGTCAATTGAACTTGATGTCTCCTGAGACTATGGTCCTGAGCCCACAGGTCCAACTATTCACTCCCTCTGAGGAGCTGGCTGTGGCCAAGAAGTGACTACAACCTTGTCCCTTGTCAGCTCTACTATATACCTGGGAATTCTTACAGAACATACCAATACACTTGTATAAACATTGTCTGCCAACCCTAAACATGGTCTTAGGCACATTTCCCCCCCTGCATAGGCATATCTAATAGTGCAGTCAGTCCATCCATCTATCCATCTGTATATCCTCATTTGCCTTCACTGACAACACAGTACTGTTCATGCAAAAGGGTTCACCTTTGTTGTCTGTGCCTCCCATGCACCTTCTCTATGTCTTCCTCTTCCTCTGTGCCACTGTGTTGATCACTCACATTTGGTACACTGGTCTTCTCTTCACCCAAAGTAATAATTGTCTCTACCTGTCTAACAGTGTTTCCTCTCCTCCCCTCCTACCCCTGGTAACCAACAAAGAAAATTTCCTTCCATATAGAAATCTTTTCTTGACTTTTTACAATAATGGACTAATACAATATTTGTCATTCTGTGATTGACTTATTTCACTCAGCATAATGTCCTCCAAGTTCATCCATGTTATGTGATGTTATGCAGATTCTACATTATTCTTTAGGGTTGGATAATATTCCACTGTATGTATGTATCATAGTTTGGTTATCCATTCTTCTATTGATGGGCACCTAGGTTGTTTCCATCTTTTGGCTATTGTAAACAGTGCTGCAATGAACATGGGTGTGCATGTATCTGTTCTTGTTCTGACTCTCACTTTTTTAGGATATACAGCTAGTAATGGAATGGCTGGGTTAAATGGTATTTCTAATCCAAACTTTTTAAGGAATCGCCATACTGCTTTCCACAGCGGTTGTATCATTTGACAGTCCCACCAAGAGTGTGTGTGAGTCTCAATCTCTCAGCATCTTCACCAGCATTTGTTGTTTTCTGTCTTGTTGAACTTTGCATCTCTCTAATGGTTGGGCAATCCTACTTCCGTAGTGATACTGCCTCGGAAACCCAAGGAGGGGTCGCTATGAGTCAGGGCTGACTC